GAGTGTTAAGATTACTTGTAAGGAAAAGCATCCTTCATGGTCATTAAAGTTGGCGTGGTGAAATTAGATAGTGGCAACAACATAGAGATTGAAAATATCATTTATTATCACAATCAGAGGTAATTTAAAAAAAATAAATTGGAAGGGATATTGTTAAGGATAATAAAATTAGTTAGATTAAAACTAATTCTGTTATGATAAAATCATTTGTTTAGCTATGATTAGTTATCTTAGCTGTCATTGTTTATGATAAGATTATTCTGTTACGTGTAGCTTATATAAGGTCTTTAAATCATTCTCTGTAATTCATACTGATGATAATAATTCAATACATCTTTCAGCATCTATTTCATTCCTTTGCTTATCTTTACATGGTATCACGAGCACAGTGAGATCTATCAAACATGTCTTCCGCTACACAAAAATCGTTCAACCTGCAAACTTTCCATACTCCAATTGCAATCAAATTAGACGATGAAATTTTTTTGTTATGGCAGCAACAAGTTCTTGCCAGTATTCGTGGAATGAAGCTTCAGAAATTCATCAGTAGTAGTGATGTTCCAGCAAAATTCGCGACAATAGAGGATGCAACAAGCAACACCCTAAGTCAAGATTATGAGCATCATGTGCAGCAAGATCAACTATTGACGGCATGGCTTGATTTTGGAATGGCCCGTTCCGGGCCAGTAAAAATAGTTGATTTGGGCTTTTGGGCCCTCTGATGTCCTATCTTGTTGTTTGTATGCCCCCCGGACGAAATTGGGTGTCTACAGAGCTCACATTCATAAAACATAAATCATAGTCTAATGTTGAAATTACAAAAGGATAAAATTAAGGTCTTCTAATCAATTTAACAAAAGTAGCATTTTAAGTTAACCCAAACTACGTCCCGATGTCACATATCTTATCAGAGCACGCCCAAATTATTAGAGGACGAATACGAGCCTCGTCGCGATTACTAGAGGTCGAAAATGAACCTCATCAAACTCGTACTCAACTAGAGGTCGAAAACGAACTTCATCATACCTATACTCAATTAGAGGTCGAAAATGAACCTCGTTACGTTCATTAGAGGTCGAAAACGAACTTCGTCACGCTTATTAGAGGTCGAATTCGAACCCCGGCATTGCAAAAGATAAGCTCAAACCCTCGCAACACGCCATTAAACAAAAAGCCGAAGCCGACTTCGAGTCTCGATACAATAAATTCAAAATAAAACCACCTATGCAACGGGCACCGAACGCGCGCCCCAAACCTTGAGAAAAAACCAAAACCAAACACTGGTGCAGAACAAAACTCATATGCAAAGGTCATGATCCATACATAAACACGGATACAAAAATGTATACACAACAAAATTGTCCTATACAGAGATGTTATCGCTAGAACTCTCCTCGACATCGAATTCCACAATTGTTTGACCAGAAAAGGACAAAAAGGTTCCTAGGTCTCTGCTAAATTTAGAGACTGATGCTACCAAGACAAGAAATACTTCACGCAAGGTCTATCACAGGAAGCAACATTTAATGCAAGAATCTGAGTATTAAATGAGAAGATCAAACTAGTCATAAACGACTATATCTGCTTCAACGGACACTTGCAATGGGCAGATTCTACAAGACAATATATATATATCACTATCTCAAACCTTGGAAGATTGGCTTCCATGTTTGAATTCTTAACAAAGTGATATCAAGCCCATGAAACAATGAAACCAGAGATAGAGTGTAGAGAGTTCAATGTACCAATAGTGTATTCATCTCTTTAAACTAAGTTGTTCCAAACATGTGTATCTTAGGAACAAAACCTTAGTGAATGTATCAATTTATGTATCCTCTTTGTGAGAGTAGACCAAACACTCAATCATTGTAAAGACTAAGGTTACATACCTTAGTGAGTGTAGAAACCTATGTATCCTTTCTATGAGAGTAGCCCAAACACTCAAACCCAATCTATTTAGTCATCATATGTAAAGCCTGAAGAGGCTAGGAAAAGAATACTTGTAAATCCTGGAGGGGCTTGTCAAAGAATACTCATTGCTAGCCAGAAGTGGCTGATAAGAAAATACTAGCGTTGGTGAGTGAAGTCGACAGACTAGGAGTGGTCGAGAATACTTGAAGAACCAAAAGTGGTTTAAGAATACTAGCGCTGGTGAGTGAAGCTGGCGGGCCAGAAGTGGTCGAGAATACT